TCACATTCACAGTAGATCACTCAATACAAATGTACATTGCCATTCAATCTCACAACACATGAAATATAACCACAGGTGCATGAGTACAACACTTCATCACATTTTCCAGACAATACAAATGTACAAAGTTCTCTCATTACAACAATTACTATACTCACATCATTACTATACATCACATCACCTTAACAAACATTTTGATTCACTGGACATACAGTTGTGGCACAGAAAAACACTCACATTAACTTGACATATAGCACTGTCAAACACATTCCAAATCGACTTCGACACCTATCCGGTGCATTTTGAGCGGCGCTTGCGCCCTTTTTTGCGGTGCTTTCTCGATCTGTTCTTATTGTTTTTGCTCGTTTTGTTCCGGCGAGCCCCTCCAAACGACGGTATCTGAGGCGGCGTCTCGGCCATCGTTGTCACTTCCGACACTGCTAGCGGGTCATGACGCTCAACCGATCCTGTCCGGTTATTCACCCGCTTGTTCATGTCCCGACATTTGGCTAGCCGACTCCGTCATCTTTACATTGTCGGTCAGTTGAGGTCGAGCCGAAATAAGCCCAGCTGCCCAACACGTGAACTCATTCGCTACGATGATGTTCTCATTCACTGTCTCTTGCGCCCAGGCTTCACCTTGGGCTCGAGTGAAATCCTTCGCGGGATTGTTCTTCGCTGTATCTCGTGGTCCGTGTGTCAGTGGGGGCTTCATCTTCGAGTCTTCCCCCAAACATTCTGGATCATTCGGCCCTCGCACCCCGTCGATGTTTCCGATGACGAGGTCGTACAGGGGGGTCGTCATGCATAGAACCGTAACCTTCTCGCTGAACTACGGGGTTTCAACCTCAATCTCAGCTTCGGGAAGCATTCGAACCGTACGGTCAATTAGGCAAACCGGTTTCGTTCTGCCTGTCAACTCACTTTCCCGTACCAAATTTCTCCGCACGATAACAGTGGAGCTACCGGTATTTCTTAACACCGTAACCTTCTTGCCCGCAACTTTTCCAGACCGCGTTGGCATTCCTTTCGTAACACCGGTTGGCTGTTTTGTCATTACAGCCCCCACAATAGGAATTTTCTCCCTATTTTTCAACTCTACGAATCCATCGGTGACGGCATTATTACCGGATTTCGGTGCCGCTTGCACACAGGATACCTGGTGAGTTTGACTCGCTCCGTTTCGACATGCGTCTGCTTTGTGCCCAATCTGACCACACTTAAAACATTTTACTAGCGTAGGGCTCTTAAAGTTAGTACGACAGTTGCTCGCGCGATGACCCACTCGGTTACACAGAAAACATCGTGGAACACTCTCCGGTGCACGCTTTTTTTGTTCGGGTGCCGAACTTTTCGAGTCTTCGGGACACTCCTTCTTGACCTTGGCCAAATTAGTTCCACCTTGCGCTTTCAAGAATTCATCCGCCAATTCAAGCATTCCTTCAAGTGGCTCAGCCTTCCTCTCTTTCAAGTACAGCGAAAGGCTTGGGTGGCAACTAGTAAGAAATTGTTCTCTAATTAGGAGCTCTCTAACCTCATCGTACTCCTGCGCTGTCCCTGAAAGTTCAATCCATCTGTCGAAATAATGGCTGAGTCGGGCGGCGTACTGCGTAGCCGTCTCACCATCAGCTGGCTTTCCTGTCCGAAATCTGTCCCGGAATCCTTCCACAGTAAATCTAAATCTCTTCAGCAAAGCAGCTTTCACCTTGGCATAGTTGGCTGCATCGGTCGGCGTCAGCCTACCGTACACACTGAACGCTTCACCACTCAACCAAGTACTCAAAGCAGTTGCCCATTGATGTTCCGGCCAATTCTGGCTCGGTGCAATCGTCTCAAATCTGTGAAGGTACGCGTCAAGGTCGTCCTTCCTTTCATCAAACGCGACGAGCAGCTTGCTTGGGTTCAAGCGGAAGCCATGATCTTCCCGTTCGCTGCTTTCAACTCTAGCTTGGACCAGAGTTTCGCTTCGCTGTTGCAAACGGAGCCGCTCGAGTTCTATCTCGTGCTGTCGCTGCCGTTCTCTTTCCTCTGTTTCTTCTTTCGCCCTCTCAGCTGCCAGTCTTTCTCTCTCAAGCTCCAACTTCAATTGCTGCTCTCTTTCTTCTCCCGCCCTTTCGACTGCCAACTTTTCTCTCTCCAACTCAGCTGCTTTTTCTTCCTTGGCTCTCTCAGCTGCCAACCTCTCTCTCTCCACCGCTTCTTTCTCCTTCTGGCTTACCCACTTCCGTAGTTCGGCGCCAGAAAGCCCCATCTTCTCACCAAGAGCTACTAACTTTTCGAGATCCATGGTGTCTCGCAGATAAAGTCTGGCCGTGTGCAAAAAGTATCTGCCTAAATCAGCCTATCGGAACACTATCCTGCACTCGTTAACGAGAGCACCGAGCAACACACAAAATCGTTCCGGTAGCACTATCAACAACAAGAGGCTCTTTCTCACTACTTTGGACACACTGTGCACCAAAAGGTCCTGCCGCGGACGCCAGAATGATTGTCACAGGTCCCGTTAATTAGGGAGGCGATCGCCGGGCTAATTCCAAGGGCTGAAGTATCAGCCCCCCGAACCGCACCACGAAAGCGTGGACAATTTAGAAGTGGTCCTTTTTGGCGCGCCAGCGGACGCCGGCTGTGGCCCAAAGAACAAGTCAGAGCGGAGAGTTGATAAACAAACAAAATTATATTCTCAATAATGGCAGATCGAAAACAATACACAAGAATGCACACTCCACAATGGTTGCATACAATATGTCACCAATCAAACAACGTACTACCCAGTGCAATCAGCCACACTCAAAACAATGGACACAGACAACAATACGCACTACCATGCAATCGCATGCATTGAACAACCAAGACACTTAAAGACTAAAGAGATAGAAAACCTATTCAGTCCAAAGTTCTTGGAACAAAAGTCTGGATGATACTCTTCCGAGAATCACTCACTCAAAGTCCAGCGTTGTTGTCGTTCCGCTGCCCCCGAAATTTCTCTTCCAGGAAACCTCGCCGAAGTTTCTCTTCCAGGAAACCTCGCGTCTTCAATTGGCCACTCTTCAAGCTTCAACTTCTTCGCCGGAAACCCATCGGCTTCACACACGCAGCTGTTGCCACGCGTCTTCGCTCGATAGCGGTAAACACACACTCTTGCCTGTAGCTCGAGTCGTCACCCCTCAGGTGGAAATCATCTTCTTCTCCTGCTTTGTCTCTACGGACAAAACCTTCGCCGACTACACGGCGGAATACCTTCGCGCTCTGGCGCTAACTTCCGTCTTCTCCTGATCTCTCGTCTCGGCGGCTCGATTAAATACCTTCCGCGCGAGATTCCAGAAAGTTCTCATCATTTCGTCGGTGCGATGCGCAGCGAAGGATGGGGGAAAGATCGAGACGATACGAGGGCCGTCCGCGACGGATGACCCAACCCGGCATCACCACGCCCCCTTCCGTCTAGAACATCCGAGGGCTTGCTCGGGCGCCGATGAGAGGAGGTTCGTCGGCGAGCCCAAGCTTCCGAGGGGACAGGCGCGCGCCCGGGGAGTAGTTGGATGTTTGTTTTCTTTTTTTATGGTTGACCTCGCGGCGTCGATCTGGCGCTTCGTCGCGAGAATTTGGGGGCGCGCCCTTTTTGAGCGCTCGTTTTGTGACATGAGGGAAGAAGAGTAAGAAGACATATATTGGTGTTCTGGTTGATAACGGCCGCCATCTTCACTGCAAGACTTTTTTTCATTGTATATAGCTTGTAAATATATTCGTTATAATAATACGCAAGTTATCCCTGAGGTATGACACTTATATATCTGTGATAAGGCTATTGAAGATCGACTCATGCACTTCTCACGTTACAGTGACATGTAAAAACCCCCATGATTTCTCATGTGCGCTGAATGTTTCTTTTTTCTTTGTCGTCCTCGTATTTTCGCGTTCTTCATTTGTTCAAAGTAGAACCTACCATCTTTACAAATTAATAGCTATAATGCTAACTGTAGATTCTTCTACTGTAGATTCTTCTAGCTCATGCTGGAAGTTTCCAGTAGGCCTAACCTCAGTTCCATTCCACTTAAACATGTTTCTGCCGCAATCTTTCCACATTTTTTCATCTATTCAATATTCGTCGATTTCATTGCATTATGACCTTAAGCACTCGCCATTGGCTATCACGACTAGCTTTTAAAACTTGGAAGCTGGTGACCTTGCTTGTGCCGTACCTCACTTAGCTGAGGCAATTCTTGTTGTTTGTGATATCATGGCAACGCTATGCTTCTCCCGCAAACTATATTTCTTTCTTGTAATATCCTTTCATTCTTTTGGTTTTCGAAAATTACAAGAGACTATACACCAAACACATATTGTAATTTAACATGGTTGAGGTAGCGAACCAGATTGATATTGAAATTTTGGTTGAATGGATTAAGTTATGTTGCTGAAAAAATATGTGACTTCAAGCCATTGAAAAGTTTTTGAAGTATTACATCGATGGAGGTCACAAATTGCTTATGGAAGGATGTGACTCAAACGATGCGGTGCTTCGTCGACTTAACTTTGCGCAACAGTGCCTAGGTAAATTTCCCGATTTTCATCCTTCGGTTGCACTGTGATGAAAATCTAGAAATAATGACGAACCCTAAATCAGTTTGAGAATGAAAACAAATAGCCACAATTTGGCGGAACAACGCAAAGAACTCTGAACAAAGAACAAACTCAGCGCTTACTATCAACTTAGTAACGTGAAAAAGTAATGAAGTATGTTGACAGTAGTCTGTCCTGTGTGCTTACTGTCCCGTTGTCGTCATCCATCCGTCCATTCGTCCGTCCTTTCGTTAGTTGGTCGGTCGGTCGGATGGTCGCTCGGTCGTCATCGTCGTGGTCGTTGTTGTTGTTATTGTTGTTTTTTGGCGTTGTTCTGGTGAAAAGAGTAAACTAGCACACCTTAGAACCATTTTGAATGACTCTCACGTATTAATATTCTTTCAATGTTCATGAGACCTTGTATTCTGTGCAATACTATGCAGCGAGCGAATACACGCCCCCGTTGCGCTGGGTTTCCTGCCGTGGAGACCAACTACCGAAGGACGCGCTGTCTGGAGGGGACGACATTGGAGGCGAGGTCACCTACGTAGGGCGAGCCGCGTACGCTGACGAAGTGATACCAGGAAAGATTGTTCCTTCCACGGGATTCTGTTACGTCCCCCATGCTGGCACCGGCCACAAGTTCCGCGACTGCAAGGTAGGTGCCGTTATTCGTGCGTGTTATGATTGACGTCATGGGAACTCCTGAACCGTTGAGCAGATCCGACAACTGTTTATGGTCACAGACGCCAGCTCGGGCACTGGTACGAGCCAAACAGCGGACTCGTCTGGAAGTTCATTTTGTATGCCCTTCAAAGGGTCAGGTGCCGCTATCGCTTGACTGTTCATCAACAAGTAAAGAATGACGCGATAGATTTGGTGTCGTGCAGCACCGTGTTTTAGCTTTTTTCGCAATTCAAGTGATGCAAGTAGAAAAGAAAACTGAAAGTGAGAGTATCCCTTTTAGTCACAGTGTGTACACGCCAACTGAATGGCATATCAAGCACCGCGTGTTTCATCAAAAGGCTTAAAACGTGGTGTGCACGTTTGCGCAGGCCTCCCGAGTGGGCAACTGGCGATCATTTGCTGCCCTTTGCTGCAGAGGAACACTTCAATGAATGCACTGCCATGTCGACGATTTATTGCTCGAGGTGACGCGTTCTTAGTTCCTGAACCAACGTGAAAAGTATTTTTTTCTTCACTCAAAACCAATCCAACCAAAAAAAAAAACTAACTCTGCGTGCATTTCAGGCTTAATGTTGGATTCTTTCTTTGCAAGTACTAAAGCTGACTGGTGGCAGCATAATGAGATAATTAGTTACACACTCGTTATATTTAATTATTAAAACTAATACAAAACAACGTTCTGCTTCATTTTCTTGCTTGTAATGTTAGACTGAGTGCCTTGGAATTATGTCACGCGAGTTTAGCGCATCTCCGGACAACACGTTACAATTCGTGACGTAAGGGGGTATAAAGACCCCATCAAGAGAAATTGTGATATTTGATACTGTTGTGCTGCGCCAGCTTCAGCACCGCCGGCTACTAGCACGGACTACTGCTGCAAGCGGAAAATGGAGTGGATGAGCAGGGCTGGGATATTCTTAGAAACGAATGAACAGTTGTTCGGTGTTCGCTGTAAGCTAGGGTCTCGGCCCCCCTTCTTGCGGCTACATGTGGCAGAAATCGCAAGAGATAATTTACAAAGTGATACGTTTCTTGCTCGCTCTCTACAAATCATGTACTTGTGTATAAATGAGCGTTTATCTCAACACCTATAGTCAATACTTCGAATTTCAGCTCTCGTGAATGCTGGGAAAAAATTGTTTTTGGAAGAGAACCCTTTTTCTGTGAAAATGGTTGACTGTGGTATACAATCATGTAGTGTAACAGAATAAAAATGCTGTTAACTTACTTGAGTCACATTTATTAGTCTGAATTTATGACATATACCAGGGTGATTAGGTATGTGTTGTAGTTCGTTTCCGATCTCGTTGAGCATTGCGAAGCGCAATGAAAAATTACAAAAGATACAGGAAGACAACACGAACCATAAACACTGATCCCATCCGGATGCCTGACATGTGTCTTCAGATATGCCGAGGTGTCCGACTGGTGTTGCATTGGGCGGCTCAAAATGAAGTTGCCAATTTCCTTCGACGGTGATTATTTCTTTATTTTTTCTTTGGGGGGGGGGGGGGGCACGTAGGTAGCTCATATTTTGAAGGTTCAATGCGGAGATTCCCTTGAACATTTACTTTGGTGCACCGTTGTTGATTAGAATTATTCGGGACTTCCACCAATTTTCAGGCCATGCATTAGACGAGGGTCATTCAAAAAGTAGGCGCCCTTTGGTCCCCCCAAAATAAATATTTATTTGTAAAGGTTTCTTTGTAAACGATAGTTTATTTGTAAACGATAGTTATAGCGCGAGAACAGAAGGACGACACAGAGACAAGAAGGACCAACTAGCCCAAGCTGCCACACTTCTATTGGCGGTTCCAGTTTAATATAACCTTAGTTCGATTTCCTGCAAAATCACCAAGAACATCTAAGCACTTTCGTATCGATATACCAGTTTCTTTAGCAAATCTGCTTAGAAGTCCATCACTTTGAAATTTTCATTACTGTTTGAGTTGGTTGGTAAGGCATTCCTAGTACCCAGCTTGCACACACTTTGTGAATATCAAGTTTAAATTTTCAATTATCGTCATGTAAATTTAGAGCGGTTAGCATAAAGAAATCTACCCGACGGACTACAAAGTACCGGTTGTCGACCAAATCCCGATTCTCGGTCCATTTGCCGAACAGTTTCATAGGTCATGATGCTGAGCCTGCCCCTTTGGTCTTCGTCGTACAAATCGTGCAGTCATTAATGAAGTATCGGCACCATATACTGACTTTCCTTCACTCGTCAATGTAGGTCTATAGCCTAGGCAGAACTGTCAGCGAATTTCAGAAGCTGATGATCATTTTGCCTGCGAAAATAGAATTACAGTTCGCACTTCCCAACTGGCGGGAGCAACGACTCTCTTGAACAGTGTTATCTCCATTGTCCGTCAAATAGAGTATACTGAGCGAAAACATACACTTTACCACCTTGCTGAAAATTCAACGTATTCGCTCTGCAGTGAATCATTGTTCTGAGGCACAAATATTAAAATGTTAGTAAACAGCTCTTACTTTTTTAATACGCCTTATTGTTAAATTATGTTAGCCATTGTTATTTTTAAATAATAACATACTCAAAATTAGAGAATCTTATTGCTGGAACGTATAAAAAATTGGCTTTGCGCCATTTTTCCTACGCAGCAAGTGGCCACGAGGTATTGTTTTTCACTATCGAAAAAGAAAATGCAGTTGAGAATAACATGACTATCACAACCAATGTTTGTTATCGTGTCACTGTATTCGAGATATCTATTTAGACAACAAACACTCTCGGGTTTTATGCTGGCAAGAAGTGAGATGGGCTACTAAAACGTCTCACCCGAGATTTTGGATTGCCACTCTAAGCACTTGTGTTAAGGGAACCACGGATGCACATAAGTGATTCATCAGTGTAGATAGCGGAACAGTTCAAATAATCTATTAAAGAGCCCTTAAACCACCGAGAGGTCGAAGGTGAGTCGTGGTGGGAAAGCTGTGCAGAAGTTACCCCGACCATGGAGTGGTGAGCATTTTTCGAAACGGTGCCGCAATAGCGGTGTTGGACGCGTTTCATTGTCGAAACGCGGCTATCACTCCTTTTAATATTTCCTTCGCTACCCTCCGTTGGTGTCCTCTCCCAAAGCCGCTTTGCCCTCTCGCCCCTCCCAATCTAAAAGATGTTTCACATGCCGCGATTGCAGCGAAAAAAATCGTTCCGTTGGCTCCAATCACTCTGTTTGCAACCGTCGCCAATGGCGGTTTCATTTCACATGGACCGCGAATGGTCCGTGATTTTCGCTCTACGACTGGAGCGGCGAGTTCTTGCCACCACTCATTGTGACAGACACGAAAGTAATGTAATAATATGTGCATTATGATATCATGAAGTTACCGTGAACGGTAACGAAGGGCCCGCTTGTTTCGTCATTTAAGAACACATTCCAGTCTGAATTCATTTTAAAAAGCACAGCATCGGCCATTACCAAAACGAACACGTCGACTTTATTTCGACGGTTTGGCCGGACCAGCCCTATTTCAACGGGTCCCGACCAAAAATCGCTCCTGCCGCTGCGATCAGAGCGAAAACCTCCAACTTGTTGGAAGCTCGCCGCGGCGCGAGCGAACTGCCCTTTTTTTCGCTGCGAGCGAATTCGCAGCCTGAAAATCGCTACTTTTTGTGTCATGTGAAACGGCCTTTACGCGGTATAAGTCATCGCCGACGCGTCGCTGTAAACGCCCTTCACTTCCGCTTGCCACGACTTCGTCTCTCCGTCGAATGCGTGCTTGTTGGCGAAATCGCTGGTGTCGTGCCAGCCCTTACTCATACGAATCGTGCCGATGTGGACCTTGTGTTACGGGCAGCAGTAGCTGATTCGCAAGCGCAGGCACGTATACGTGGGTAACGGGACGAAAAACAACAAGCAGCGCGGACAGCTGCTTGTAGACCGACCGGAAGTCGTAGGCTCTTGCTCGACCAATAACAGCATATTCGTACTGCGCGTCACGCGGAGAGCAGGAGAGATGATTTCGCGGAATTTGCGGCGCGCCGGCGCCTCGTAGCGCCGTCACGTGTAGAATCGGTGATCGTGGACGCATTCTGCAGACGATGCGCGTGTTCACTTGAAATGATTCAGGAAAATTCACAGAATATCCACGGAGCGAGTGAAGGTGAGTAGGGTAAAGCTTCGCGGGCTCTCAGCTCGGGATCCGCCTGTCTTTGTGCACGTTTCGCTGCCATTGCAAGAGCCCTCGCCGTCTCTGCATCCTCTTGCCGGCGCTTCCGTGCAGCTTTGGTTTCGCGGGCTCCTACTTCCGGGTCTCGACGGCGAGCGCGAGCTGCAGCCGCTCTCCAAGCCCTCCGCTCCCCCGCCTTGTCTCCGTCGCTCATTGCGAGGCACACAAGCTCAGTTACTGCCGACTAAAGACGAAGCGCACCAAGAGAGAACGTGTTTTATAGCTGTGGCACCTAGCGGTCTCCCATCGCACCATAATTTCTAACGAGTGCTAGACCCCCCCCCCCCCCCTTCAACAGTGGTCACTCTTGACTACACGCTGGGGAAACCAACAAGAAAGCCGAAGTTTTCCGTCATTATGTTCTTACGGGAGAATGAAAATGTTACGAGGCAATGTTACGAGGCAATGTTACAACATAGTTAAATTTTGCCAACATTTCCACTGTGGTGATTTTACTTGTAGGTTATTTGCGGTGCGGGTCACCTATGCAACGTTTTCGCGTCTTGTACTGCAGTATTGCAGAGCAGGAGAACGTTGAACAGAGGCCCCATAACATTACATCACTTGTCCATGCATGCTTTTATTCAGCTGTGGCCTGTTGATGCGGTTACGGATCGGAACGAGCAAACTTTCTGTGGACTGGTCAAAATCATTTACCGCATCCTGAAAATAACTTTCATTGAAAAGGGTATATCATCACCTCTGCTCTGTCGAAGCTGTTGCAAGCCGATGACTGTGACGAATCGTTTTTGATGTTTATGTTTTTACGCACTG